CTCGATTTTTGTACGTCTAAAAATTTTTTTTGGTGAAAATGTAAATATGTAGTTGACATTATTTTATGTGCAATTATTATCTTCGTTTTTCCTGATGTCATTATAATTTCACAAAATTAATAAAAAAGAAACATCAGTATAATTAAAATAAATGTTATTAATTATCTGTCTAAATCTACATATTTCTCTAAAAGGCGCCTTGCATATGTATGAGATTCAAAAAATATATTCAAATACATTTTAATGCATAAAAGCATGATAATCTTTTTTGAAGAACACATTGACTGAGGGTTAATTATAACTATGACCCAACATAAGAGAAAACAGTACGCACGAATAGAAATCTGGCAGGCAAAATTAATTTATAAAAACTCTCCTTTTTTTTGCTGTAAGGTACTAGGCATGTTTAACGTAATGTCCCCCTGTGGTTCAGCGGTAGGTCTAAGGTTTTGTAACGCTAAAAATTGTGTTTCGATACCCGCAATGGGTAAAGCACAGATAGTTCATTGTGTAACTTTGCTCTTAATAATAAACAAATATCTAATATTGTTATTAAGAGATGGCTTTCAATTACCGCATGCCGTGTAGTAGAGCTTGTTGTAGCACGTTGGAAAATGTTCAATGTTTTTGTCCATTGGCCATCTGGAATAAAGATGAAATAATCTGAGATTTGCAGAAAATCAAACAATTTAATTCATAAAGTTAGAAAGAAAAAAGCACAAGAGTCTTGCTAAATTCCGTCCTTGTGAAGCGAAAGTCGAGGGTATAATATAGTTGGCTAAAATATGCATTCCGTAATCAAAATCGAGGGTTTAAATCCTTCTTCAGAATATAACCATAATGTTAATAAAGTTGTCAGTTACTGTGTGCTAAGCAGTAATGGCTCTAACGACAAGCTGGGTGATTTTTAGTACTGCTTCTGTTGGCAGTCAACATTAAGGTGGATTGATTATAGCTCTGCAGAAGATTGAAAATGTCGCATCATGAAATTAGAAAAACAGTGGGAACTTAACTTTTCAACATGATATTTAATGAGTTACTCTCTGCTTTTTTATTTGTATTAGAGATGGATGATATTATATAAGTTTCAAACTTTTAGTGTAGCGAACTACCTGCACTGAAATATTTTGAGAATAATAAAAACGTTAATTCAGCAAGTGCTTGTATATCAGTGTTTTTATTATTGATGTTTGCTACATATTCTTTATGTTCACTTGAGAAAGAAAGATCAAATAAATAAAATACCAATATTCAAACTCCATTTTAAAATGTTTACCTTAGTTTTAAGATGTTTTGCTGATTATCACAGTTAAGAATAAAAAATTACGGTTTAAACGCCAAAAGTCGACGAAATATTGGAAAATCAGTAGGCCTAAAAATTATTAGAAAACAAGTAATTTCAGATGTTCTCTTTATTTGTCCAGTTGGGCTTGAAATCAGAGATGTATTATAAATACCATTTCAAATCTCTATTCTGTCTCGCACAAGTCACTGCCCAGTAAGCTTTTAGCTCATTACTAGCACTCATCAGTTGGGCTGAACGATGAGAGACAAAGCTTCTATGAAAATATACATACTTATGTAGTACAATATCGTAAAAGACGGCGAAGAATTGGTAAAACCAATAGACCTAAAAATTGTTATATAAAAAAGTAGATAACTGCAGATGTATAAGCAAAATAAAGTACTATATTGAAGATGTAAATAGCATGTCGTAGGATCTCTTGCCTCTGATCGTCTAACCCAACTGATGTGCTCTGGTATTTAACTAAAAGCTTATTGGACGCTGATCTACGGGAGACAAAAGATAGATCTGAGATGCTATTTTTACACACCTCTGATTTCGGACCTCAATGAAGAAATTAAGACGAATGTGGGAAAAAATACATCTGCAGTTAACTTGTATTTATAACAGTTAAGAATAAACCTATTCCTAAATGTAAATCTACAGTTTCATCTTCGGTGTAAATGTAAACAATATCTTACGAGATTCACTGTAAGAATGTTTTTCAACAATATGAAGGGATACTGTAAAAGAATACCTGGTGAAATCCTGCACTGTATTTCACACGTTCAATTGTGATACAATAATTCACTCTTGATATTTCAAGATAAAAGTGCCGATAAAAAAAGAGAGAGAGAGAAACAGACAGCTTTTTTTTTTAAACAAGGAAAACTCGTTTTCAATCAGTTTGTTTGTTGTTAAACACAAAGCTATACAATTGGGTATCTGTGCTGTGCCCAACGCGACTATTGAAACTCGATTTTTAGCGTTATTAGCCCATAGACTTGCCGCTGAGCCACCGCAGAGCTATTTAATCAGAATTATTTACTTTTCACTTTCATTGCATCAATCAGTTGTATATAAAACGAAGAAGATTTAATATTAAAACAAATTTCTCATTATATAAAATGATAGATCATTTCAAATGATTCCATTAAATTGTTTCTCAATGTTTTATAAGCACAATAAGTTTTGTTTAGTATTTGTTACTGGGATCTTTTTTTTGTACCAAATGAACATGGACATTAGAATAGTATATACGCATGCACATTGTAAAAAAGTGGTATCTCTAGTTAGTTTGTTTTTTGTTAAGCACAAAACTACACAGTGGGTTATCTGTACTTGGCCCATCGTGGGTATCAAAACCTTATTTTTGGAGTTATAAACTTCCAGACGTATCGCTGAGTCACTGGTATCTTTAGTAAAATAGAAAGCTATGTAGATGCATAACAATATTCGAAATAAGAATGTAAATGTGCAAGTTATACTAGAAAACCGAATACTGCTCAATGATCTTGGTCGCAAGGAGAGATTTATGTATTGTTTTTTCTTGTTCAGAAAGCCATCCATGCACTGACAGACTGAACAATGTATGCCTGTGTATTAAAAATAAGAATTTCCGAGTGAAAATAAAACAAGCGTATAATAATATGTCAACCACATTTTACTGTTATATCCATTGAACTATATATCTACCAAAACATCTTTTCTAATACTATACCAAGATTATTTCACATTTCGCAGATCTTGAAACATGATTATGTAACTGTAACATTTCTTATTCTCAGGCTTAATTTTGGAGTTGTTTTGAGATTTCTGAAAAGTAGATAAATCTGGAATATTTGCACGTTTCGTAATATGCATAAATACATTTCAAAAGATCCTAAGATTGTTCAAAATACAAAAGTTACTTTTTGGTTATTTCAATCCAGCCTACGACGATATCAGTCATGTGGCACACCAACGTTACCATTACACTTTAACAGGGTGAGAAATTAATTTGACAAGGTATATAATTAAGTTAACAACTTATATGAGTATTAATTTATTATAACAAAGAAAAAAAAACACCAAAAATGAGGAACCATGACCTATCTATTGAAATTCCTCCTCAATCTATAAACAATTTTGTCAAATAAAGCTGTAAGCCATTTTCTACTCATAAAACAATCACAGCGTAAGTGTGTAAAATAAACGACGAACTTCATGTTATTAGAGCTTAAATGGTACTATCAAGGCATTTTCCCGTGTTTACGATAGTCTAACAACTTATAGTGAATTCTACATAACCTACACTGATGTAATCTAAGTTACATTATTTTCGGCCTTCATATAGAAGCACATTTCCAATCTAATAATGACGACAATGATGTCTGAGATCTTTAAAATATGTTTATTTATTGTTAAGCTCAAAGCTACACAACGGGCTATTTTTTCTCTGCCCAACAAAGTTATAGAAACACGATTTTTACCGTTATAAGTCCTCAGAGTTACCGCTGACCCATAGGAAAGGAAGGAAAAAAATGTTTCGTTGATTTACAGAGTTTTTAAATTGTAAAAGACGGATTATTTATCTAATCCGTCATACCTTTTCCTGAACTATTTCTTGAATATTTAATAAAACATAATTCTCTCTTTATTTCGAAGAATCAAATATCAAAGTTATTCGTACTTCATGTTTGTTTTTAATTATGCACAAAGCTACACAAGAGCTATCTGTGCTCTGCCCACCACGGGTATCGAACCCCGGTTTCTAGCGTTCTAAGTCAGCAGACATACCGCTATGTCACTGGGGGGCTCGTACTTCATAAGTTAAACACTAATATAGTCTAATTTGCTACAAAATTGCTTTAAATCACAATATAATGCTTCTGGTGTATGAATGGACAAAATATTCAAACACAAGTAATTTTGGCGTTTATTGTGTGGTTTCAATTTAATACATTGAAATTACTTTTGTAAAACTTTATAAACAGATTTACACGTAAAAAATAAATACCGAGAGGGATGTTAGCGCGGATATAGACTGCCAATACACTCTGAAACATTTAGTTATTTTTTAAACTTATAGGAGTTTTCTGCCTGGAGTTCATCTTTTATGTTGTTATTATCATTTTTCACGTCCCTCTTAATATATTTTACTTAGGAATGAAATGCTGATATAATCATACACAAAGCTTTCACTGATTAAGAGGAATTTTCTATGTTTGATATTCGTTAGTCTTAATGATTAATTTTGACGAATGCATGTTATGTTCATAAATACTTGTTATTTCAGAGTTTATGATTTCCCGTCTGCCTACTGTACAAGAAGATCTGAATAACTACTAGTTCGACTTTATGATGTATATTCATCTGAATATAATTTTCAATTACATCTAACGCTTTCTTTCATTTTTTACAAGAATCATGGTAAATTATAGTCAGTAAAAAATGCTCTGTAAATGATTGTGTTATTGTTCAAAGAAATAATTCAAAGTAATTGTTTGCTTATATATTCGTATAGAAAACATAATAATGCATTTTAAATTTCATAATTCATTGTATATAAATGTATATTTGAGTTTTTCCTATCAAAAATAGAGTCATTTTTGTTCTTGTATAATACAACAATAACATTCTTAGCAGTTTTTCGTATAGCTGAGGAATATATCTTATATACATATTTCACGAAGTTATTTGGCTGGAATAAAATATTTGAGTTTTTTACGTTTAGCGGACATGGACAACACTGGTCAAGAACAAGGTCTGGCTGAGTCCAAAGAGCTTCAGTCAAGTACACACGGGCACACCCCTACGGTCAGTCCAGCCCCGCCACCTCCACCGCTCATCTATTCTTCTGCCGTCTCTCCGATTCCAGACGCCAATCAGCCGGAATCAGCCAATCAGTTTTCGACAGTTACCGTGGTGCCTGTTGGGCCTCCGCCCCCTATTGCCGTAGCCGTCTCTACAACACTGCCTCTAGACGGCACTGATGCGCTCCCTGGTGGCGGAGAACGCGAGCTGCAGTACCAGACTTTAAGCAGCGCTGGCGGAGAGTCCAGTTTGGCGATGGTCAGTCCCTTTACCAGCATGGCTCCAGTGGCCTATAGCGCAGCCAGTAGTCCTACCTATGGTTCTTCGCAGCCCTATGTTACCCGAGACGTCTTACAAATGGGGAGTAAGTTTGGCCCTTCCTCTGTAGGATTCAGCTACGGCGCTCACGGTGAGCCCTACGCTTCGAACCTGACTCCGACAATGTATCCCTCTACACCTACTGCTGTGACCATGTTGCCCGTCCAGTACATGAACGTCCAGCCAACCCAGGCGACCGGGCAAACCATGTGGACCTCCCCTGGGCCACCGACCGATCACTATCAACTCGCGACTAACTACGGAGTGCCTAGTTCAGCGATGGCTGCTCCTCTCGCCGTAGCGCAGACCGATCACTCGGATTTCTCTCGGCACAACGGGATTACATCGCTATCAGGCTCTTACTTCCGGCCAGAGGTTGGCAGCTGGGGTCTCTGCGATAGCAGCATACAACAGCACACGGCGGTATACCCAGATAACATGGGACGTAGACTTGGAACAGGTTAGTTGCAACCCGCATGATTTGTATACATATTGTTTAAAATAAGGTCATTATACTTTATTTTTAATGCATTGTTTAAACAATTATATTATACTCATAATATAGCTTCTTAAACTTTACTGTTACTCAACGTTTGATAGCAGCCATCATACACACTTAAACTACTTTCTGATTTAGCAAAAATATTAGATATTTATGCACTTTGTTGCAGTTATCATTTGGCTGTGTACTTCATGATAACACCGTTATTTTGTTGTAGTACTATTTTAAAGCATTTGCCATTATTTCATGGTGTAAGTCACAGGTCATAATTAACATAAAAGTTTATCAATTAGCCTAAATTCACAAAAGTGCTATGATCTGTATAACAAGTGACTCATGGAACATCTAAATGCAAAGGTCTTAAAGTCGTGGGCCTTATATTGAAATAAATCTTTGGTTGTGTTTTATCAATATTGTTGTGACGTTATTACGCAGCCATTTTTTAATACAGATCGTGTTCTGTGTAAAAGTCCGAGAAACTCAACATTTTACTTAACTTTAAAACCTTATAATATATACAGCAAAGGCCTTATAGTGATGTAAGCATGCGATTATTAGGAACTTATGTAATAATTAACATATGTATATTTCAGAGAGACATTACACAGACAGCACTTAACTTGGTGTATTTGTAACCGAAGAAAATAGTAATATTTCATTGTTTAGTCTCTGATAATTTACAATGTTAAAATTCAGAACAGAAACAACAGACAAAAAAATCAACAACTCTCTAATTTTCTAATAAACTTATCTTCAAAGAACGGCCACCCAATGTTGACTTTGAAAATAAAGGTCATATGTGTTAGGAATATTAGATTTGTCAAGTGTAACAAAGAGGACGATATACCACAGTTGTTGAAAGTTAATATCATTTTATATATATGGAATAAAAATATATACTTTAAAGTTTTAATTATTTTAGATATTATTCTTTTACCGCGTGGTTAGAGCTCTGGCTTGTAAACTGGGTTAAAATCTGTGCGATACTACAAAATCTTCCTCGTACTTTAAGCTGTGAGTGCATTATAAGAGTGACATTCAGTTCCATATTATGGATGATGGGTGGTAGGTCTGCTCTCTCTCTGGTCAGTAGTTTAAAATTGGGTACGCCGGTTGATAACCTTAGTAGCTTTCCCATAAATATAAAAAATAACTTTACCAGTTTAATATTACAAACGTACAATCACATGTGGTGGAGATATACAGAACCATGGCACCTGGTTTGTTTTAATGTATTCTTCAACTCACGTGTTACAAGACATCGAGCAAAAATGAAAAGTGTCACGTTGTTCTTGTCACCAAACATACTGATTGTCGTATGATTCACTTTAACACGTTATAATTCTTATTTCACCTTCTTTATCTTAAAAAGAAAACGTTGTAAACTTACATCTTGCCTTTTATAGTTATTTTGAAACCATGTTAGAAACTTCCATACCAGTGTATACCAATGTCATGATAGATGTTTTCAATTCGCAATAGTTTCACTGCTTATACGCTCCATGCACGAGCACTATGGCCACCATAGGTGAAGTGTCTTACTGTTTAAAGACTATTGAATGACGCTTTATATAATAAGTAATATACTATTGACTAACCACAAATTTTATGATAATAGAACTAGATTTATATTGCTATATATATTGTACATCAACCACACATAAAACATTTACTGTTTAGGCATGTTTACTAGACACTCGTATATAATAAAATGATTTACGTTAATATAGGCTATTGTGATTGAAAGATAATATTATATTGTAAAGTATGTGGTGATATATGAGATAATGAGACAAGTACAATATTTCTGTGAACTTATTAGGTAATAGGGGAATAAGGTTTTCGTATGTATGTATAGTTAAATGTTGACTTTCGAATTATGAAGTATATGTATTTCCAACCTCTTATTTCTTATCAAGCGTGAATAAGTTATTTACACAGGAGATGCATTTAACAGAAGATAATATTGTACCTTTTTTTGTCATTATAACATATTATATCAACATAGGTCAAGATATACTTTCTCTATATATTCGCCTTCGCTCGCCGTGAAACAAATCCAAACCTGGGATAAATTTGAATTTAATATAACTGGTATTAAAGCAGTACTAGAGTTACAGTTAAAATGAATTTTACTTTAATTGTTGTTTTATTCTAAGGAAATTAAAATTCTAATGTATTTGTTTACTGCATTTTTAAGTAGGGACATTCTGGTATCTATAACTGTGTATATATCTGTCGTACAGAATGAGTGTCAGTTTTATTGCAATTTAAAATGTATAATTCCGAGAAGTTATAAGTTTGTTCTGTAAAATAAACATTTGCATGTCACACGATCAAACCATATATTATGAGGTATATATGATAAGCTCTGTGTCTGTAAAATGTTAAAACTTATATTTCTTCTTCAAGCTAATATGTGATCGTTATCTACAGTGTTTTTAATATCTTATTTTCTAAAATGTTTACTGTTTCACAGATACATGTACGTTTACGAAACAAACTGTATCCACTTCAAAGTAGCCGCTTAACACAAAAAACATAATTATTTAACACAAGTTATCAATGATTATGAAATACTAAACATCTAGTATTTTATACAATGTTTTTAATATTTTATCTTTTATTATATTTTGATACATCTCCATAAATTTCGTTTAACTTACTACTGTTTAATGCCTTTAAATCTGTCATTCCCCCAAACTTTGAAAGTAATACACACACAAAATGTAATGCACGTGTTGTGATGAGTAAATATTTTGATTTATATTATCGCGAGTCTTAACGTAACTATACAGACAGGGTGGCTAAACTTTGTGTAGCGAGAAACATGATCTGTATTTAAAGAATGAGAAGGACACGTGTTCATTAAAACTTTCTAAACAGTGTTATTATTTTTTGTCCCGGATTTATCTCTACAAATTCATCAGTCACTTCAATCAGGTTTAGAGAGTATTTCCAAAGTTTTTATAAGAAGTTTGTAGTGGAACACCCACGATATCGGTAGGATCATTCACTATTATGAATTAAAAAAGTAAAGCCTTACCAAAAGTTCTGCAGCTTGGTAGACTGAATTTGTATCCCTAGTAAATTTAATGTTTTTTTTATTCGGCAGGAATTAATTAAAAAGCATCTATTAGTTTTTAAAAACAACAACTCTTAAACTTATATCTCAAGTGCACAAAACATAAAGAAAGTCTTCGGTCTATCTATATTTCGTTTTTTTTTAAGCTGTGTTAGGCATAGCATTTTTATTGAACTAAATTATTATGTTTTGAGAAACTCTCTGAAAAACACATTTTTTTTTCTGAACTTGTTTAAGCTACTCTAATTATCCTGTTAGACATCGTTTAGAATAAAACTACCCTGAGTTTGATCTTAAAACTATGTGTGTATCAACACATTTGATAGTTGTTTATACTTTGTGAGGAGGGAGTTGAGTTGTGCAGATAAAACATGCACATGGAGTTGTTGAAGTTCACAACACTGAACGATAAACTGAATTATTAATATCAATTTATCAAAATAACCAAATGATGCGAGTTAAACTAGAGAGTTAAACCTATTTTTCCTGAGCTACTGTGATATACTAGCAATTGTGTAGTGATTTTATGATTAAATATCATTCAACACAATGACACTCAAGTACTTTGTAGCTATAGCTCGATAAAAAGGTAGGACTTGGAGGAATTTGAGGAAAGATTCAGACTTGCATTACAGGATGGAACCCCTTTGAAGCGATCTCTTGTATTGAATTTGTTAAATACGAAATTAGATAATATATTGTGTCAGTTTTACACTTATTTAATAAAACAATTTGATTAAAATACTTTTACTTTTGAATATTAAGTACTATCATGGTGAATTTGGTTCGTACTTTGCTTACTTCAATCTCAATTACTTTAATGCTACGTCTCAGTTTTATTGGTTGCCCTTTAACATGTCTGTACACGTTTAGCTCAAACAAATACATTCGATTAGTTTAGGATTTAATTAACTTTATAAGGTATTTTTGAACACGTTTCTATGCCAGCCCTGAGAGGATGAATATCTCGTAGTCTCTTCGGTTACAGTATTAAGGTTCATTTTATACACACCGATATTTTTACATTTCTAAACCTTTTACGTGCGTATACTAGTGTACAAGTATTCGTTTGGAATCCTGAAGTAAATTGCAAGGTTTTCTGCATTTCTGGAACTATTAATGCATCGCTGAGAGTAATGATTTCATAAAACACTCGTCCACTAGCACTTATATTTCCCTATACATACTTTCTGTTTTCTTTGTCTGATCAGTTTCCTTTTAGTCCTAAGACTTCACTAAATAAAATCAATTTTATTAGGCTCTTCAGAAGAAAACGTAAGCCTTTTCACGTTTCTTATAATAGTCTTTGATATCTGTAAAATGTAAAGCGATGTGCATATCAATCTTTATAACTACAAACAGCGGACCCTCTTTAACCTTAAGAATTAACAGTGACTAATTTTCTATTTGTTGTTACACTTGGTATGCAGTTTCTCTGATCCAATGTAAATAATTTCACCATCAAAATTGTTTGTTTGCTTAAATTTCGCGCAAAGTGACCTGAAGGCTATCTGCACCAGCCATCCCTAATTTAGAAATGATAGACTAAAGGGAAGACAGCTAGTCAACACCATCCACTACTAACTCTTGGACTACCCTTTACCAACAAATAGTGGGATTGACCGTCATATTATCAGGTTCCACGACTGAAGAGATGAACGTGGTTAGTGATGGGATTTGATTCCGTGATCTGCAGATTGCGAGTCGAGTGCTCTGACCACTAAGTCACACCAGGCCCCAACATAAAAAATATTTGAAGAAACAGTCTTCAAGTGGCCACCGTATTTATTTACTTGTGTGACAAAATTGGGAAGTTTCATAGAATATGAGCCTATAGTAGTAACATGGAGCACAGTACGTTTGTATTATGTTT